GGATGCAAGCCTAGGTTGTCTCCAACGACTTTAGTTGAAAATGTGCATTAAATATGTTACAAACATTCACTATGAAAGCAAGTAAAAAGGGGGGGTTTGTTTGATTTCCATTCCATTTAAAAAGCAATTAATGAAAACGATAGTAGCTACGCACAGCCTCCCAGTCCTGTTATTCTTCTCTGGAGTTGTCACTATAGGAGGTGATAGTGGCTACAGGCAGCGCGCGTAGCTACTATGGATTTGAAATTGGCTATGCGCAGTGCTATATCAGTTTGGCCCTTGTTGTAGTTGTCACTATGGGGTCTGAAAGTAGCTACGCGCAGGCCTATTGCAGTCTAGGGTCTCTGTAGTGTCCACTATCACTTCTGAAAGTGATCACTTTGGTCTACCCTCTGGATCTAGCTTGTTGTAGTGTCCACTATCACTTCTGAAAGTGGCCACTTTCAACTCAAATTTTCTCAAAGGCTAAAAATCCATGGAATAAGTCTAGAAATTCCTGCACAATTATTCAACTGATCAAAATTGTAAATTATATCTATGTAAATCAATGTAAATTAACCAAAAATTAAGAAACCTATGATAATTGACCTAAATGGAATTTTCATCTTATTTAGACTTTCTAAATTTTCTTTTTCTATTAAAGAACACTAAAAAGACTAGTAAAAATTCAATAAAATATAGATTCATTACAGCATCTCTATGTTTTCAATGTGATGTTGCATGTTGGTTGTGGTGTGAGATGGCTTGAGTTCATGTATGTATAAGTTGTAAGGTTATTGAGTAAAAAGTGGGTGCATGTTGTGTTAGTTAGAGGATTTTGGGTCAGGTTGAACTGCAGGATATCTCACTGTAGCGAGAATGGGTCGTCCAGAACAAGGTCTTCTAGAGCTCTCTCGTTGTAGCGAGAGAGGCTCATTGTAGTGAGGAGACTCTTGGTGTAGCAAGAAAATTTTTGTTGCAGCGAAAATGATAGACAGTAGAAGGGTTCCACTGTCTCTTATATCTCGCTGTAGCGAGAGGTACTCGTTGTAGCAAAAATGACAGACAGCAAAAGGATTCCACTATTTGGTATATCTCGTTGTAGCGAGAGGTGCTCGCTGTAGCGAGAAGATCGCAAGCTGGGAGGTATTTAAGGGGGTTTTGAATTGAAAACTTTTATTTCTCATCAAACCACAAACCCCTCTCACTTCTCCTCCGCTCTCTCACCCTTTTCACTCAAGGAAAACCTTCTCAATGCCAAACTTCTTCCAATCCAAGTGAGAACCTCTACCTTGTGCGGATCTAGGTGAGTTTTAGGACATAATTCCTCTATTTCATCCCTCATTTTCTTTTGGTTTCTTTTCTCAAAGGTTTCTATTTTCCAATAGTGCAGAAATGTGAGCCTTTAAGCATTGTTTCTTTCTCTAGAACTCTCATGGACCAGATCTAAGGGAACCTATCTCAAGTAAGGGGAGCTTACCTAAGCTGGACTTGTTCATTCCATGGATGTCGAGATATTTAGATAAATAATTTCGTCTTAGCTGAAAATAAGTTGTTGTATGGACCACCTTTAGATTAAAACCCAGAGTGTGTATGGCTGAGTGGATTTCTCTGTTGCTTAATGAATGTTTTAAATACTGTGGTAGAACATGATGTACTGAAATGTTGTAATATATGTGCCAAGGATGTTAATATAGACTGAAATATTTAATTAATGTTGTAAGCTACTTAGTTTTATGGTGAAAATATGTAAAGTTATATTGCTGAGACCAAGTATATATATATGGCTATATTGCTGAGGCTAAGAATATGTATAGTTGCATCATGTTTATTTCCATCATTCTAGAGGCGAGTTACATGTTAGGTGGTTAGACATGTAATGATAGATATACTGAGTTATGTTGTGTTTGGATCCAAACGCCGGGATGGGTTGCTCCCAGACTGGAAACAGTTTCTCTAAATTACTTAGGCTGTGAAACCAGTTGGAACTGAATTGCTACATCTGTATTAGATGGGTTGGGAAGAGGCTGAACATGCTGCATCAATTGAGCTGTATAAACCTATCCGATATTTTCATATCCTATAATGATGACTGTTGATTTCATAAGCTCACCCTTGCATTTGTCTGTGTTGGCGTGTGTGTGTGTGTGTGTGTGTGTGATGCGATAATCGTATGGTGATGCGTGAATAGGTGTGACAAGTGAGGCATCCAGTTCTCATGCTGGAAGGTCTGCCTGAGGAAGGCATGAAGTCAAGTGCTTTTGTGAAGATTGTAGTTTTATTTATTTTGTTAATCTAGGTTTTATTAGTGGGTCTAGACTATTTAGCTATAGTCTTCAATAATGTAATTGTTGTTTATAGAAATTGTATTTTGAGCTCCATGTAAAGCAACTACTGTAAATACATACAATTGTATAATTTTTGGATTATATGAAAATGTCCTTATGGTTTTATTATTCTATTGTTGAAGTTTAATTTCTGAAAAGTGTACCTTTTATAATCTACGTATCACATAAATAACTCATGTTGGAAGTAGTGATGCATGATGTCATTAATCTTTTATAAAAAGGAGTCATGACACTCAATCTTGCTTGAGCAAGACCCTCTGCAGTTATCAACATTCATATTTTTCTAATTTAAAACAAAATATAATAATAATTAATAACAAATAAAACAATTAAGAAAAAAAGGTGTTACATTTTGCCTACTCCAGTTATCAATATTCATACTTTTCTAATTTAAAACAAAATCTAATAATAATTAATAACAAATAGCAATTGAGAAAAAAAGGTGTTACATTTTGCCTACTCCATGTTATTTGGATTTGATTATAGCTCCCTCTATCAGCAATAAAAATTTTGCAACAATTAGCCTTTCTACTTTGAATACAGATTATTCTAATGCTATTTTGAATGGATTAGAAATCATAAAATTGAACAACTTTATAAGTAGTCTCAGTTGGTCAAGTATTGTGCCTATGACTAGTACTACTAGTTCAAGTTCTAAGAAATTTGGCATGATAGTGGGTGCGAGTATTGGAGCATTTAATATAGTAGTCTTGGTCAGAATTTTGTTTGTACTACGCAAGAAAAGAAAAGAAGACATTTGAAAAGACAAGGTCATTCGAAAACATGGATCCCCTTGTCAATCAATTATGAAACTTCTCACACCATGGGAAGTAAATATTCTAATAGCACAACAAGTCTTGTTTCAAACTTTGGGTATCACATTCCTTTTAATCACAGTTCAAGAGGTTAGAAATAATTTTGATGAGAGTTGAGTTATTGGCATGGTGTTTTTGGTAAAGTATACAAGGGAGTGTTAAATGATGGCACTAAAGTAGCAGTTAAAAAAGGGATTCCATGGTGCCAGCAAGGGCTTATAGAGTTCAAAACTGAAATTGAAAAGTTGTCTCAATTCTGCCATTGCGATCTTGTATCATTGATTGGATATTCTGATAAAAAAATAAAATGATGAATATATGGAAAAGAAAACTCTCAAGAGTCATTTGTATGGTGCAAGTCTCCCAAGCATACTCTATTACTTATTTTTAACATCTTTTAACGTCTGAGGACTAAACTAATCAACATTTGTTAATTTCAAGGTTGTAACCTTTGCCCCACGAGGTTTTGATGCTTAAAAAGTGAATAGCATAGGAGAAGGGAGACGAAGGAATTAAGAGCAAGTAAATTAAATCAAGAGTGAGATAAAAATAGAAATTAAAACTTAATATCATAAAAAAATTATAAAAGTTAGTCAAAAATTGTGTAGCAGCTACTTAACCTCTTAAATTCGATCAACATGTCATAATGACTAGATTTGATATTTGAAGAGATGAAAAGTAAAAATTGTGTAGTAGTTTGCTTGTGTAGTTCGAGTTTTTATAAAATAAATATAGTCGTTTGGATTTAGATCTTTTGCTGTAAAAATTCACTGCACTAAATTCAATATTAATCTCTACCATCAATCATTATATTTATTATTTTTAAATAAAAAACTAAAATATTTCAATAGCGAAGATCTTCTTCATTAATGTTACCATAGATAATCTTGGTCTATAATCATTTATTGTTTATATTATAATGACAGCTTACACTAGATGACCTCTTTTATTAAAAATGTTAATATTTTAAAAATTTAAAAATATAAATTATTAGATGATATATATCATATATCTAGTTTAAGCATTAATAGGTTAAACCTATAATCCCACCCAATGATGAAATATCTTAACTGAGTCAATGATGGATCGGAATTTAATAACATTGGTAACCCGGATAATTATTAGCGGTTTACATCTTTAACAAATTAAATATACAAAATATTTTAACTTCAATTAATTTTGTGACATTTTTATAAAAAAAAATTATTTTATTATTGAAAGAATCTTACAATGAGTCATGTTATCCTTCCAAGAAACACTCCGACAAGCTTGTTTGATTGACTTTAGAAAGTGTAGAAGAGAGCTGTGGAAAATGAGGGGTTTTGTGGCTAATGGTGTCTTTGTGAGTGCGGAAGGTGAAGAGAGAAGATAGTGTAGAGGAAATAGAAGTAATTGAGGGTCAAGATTGTTGAATAATACTCCTGGGTTCCATCTCAAGGAAGATTGAAAAGCCTTTATAGAAGAAAACATTCGGGCGGGTCATAAGAAAACAAGGAAGAAGAAACTAATGAAGTTCAGTTACAATTGTCCTTTTAAGCTAGAGTAACGGTAAGCCGTTGGCACCAATCTATAAATGTTCACTGGAACCAAACTTACAAATATGTTTGCAGGAGGAGGGAAAAGGTGTGAAAGAAGTTAAGTTCAATTAAACGTAAAATTGAATATTATTCCTTTTGCTGAATTTTTTCTTAAAAAATCCCGAGATTGAAAGAATTTCGAAATATTCATGAGACGGGGCAAGAGACATTAATTTTGGATGGTTTAATGAAAATCCTTCAATTTCACCCTTTCTTTTATAAATTCCATCGCTAGAGACGTTTACAGATAATTTTCCTTTCCAAATATACAAATGAAGCGCACGATGAGCCACAAGGACGAAAGAATTAATGCTGCCACAAATGTGCGGAAGGGCCAAAGAGCATAGAAATAGAAACAAACAATTTCAAACCTTGGAAATTCATTTTATCTTTGTTTATGGAAGCAAAATAACTGCAAACTTGTAAAACCAGTCCTACATTCACTTCCAATCTAAAGAAAAGGGAGGGGTTCATATGGAAACAATTCGCAGGAGTTTCAAGATGGTATATACAAGAAGCAAATCAAAGGATCAAACCCTGAGCAGGAGCAGGCTTGGAAGAGTGCGTCTCGCTTGTTGCTGCTGCTTTTGGGGACTCAGAAAGGACTTGCGCGTACTGGTCTTCTACTTTTCGCTTCTCTTCCTCTTCTGCACTCACCACTTTCTCTTTTGTCTTTTGACCTACATCCCCAGCTGCCTTAGCAACCTTACTAAAAGCACCTGTTACCCAGGAAGCCCCAGTAAGTACATAGCGGTTCTTCATTATAGCAGACCCTGCTGTACTGACTTTCTGTTCTGCAGCTGCAAATGCTGATTTAGTCTTCTCTGAAACCTGAAACTTTTGATCCACTTCTCGAACTCTATCACTCACAACTGTAGCACCAGCACTTATTTTCTCACTAAGCCCAAGCTTTTGGTCAAAAGATGTAACTTTTGCCGAGGCTGTTGAAGATAACTGGTGCTTCTCATCAAAAGTCTTCGCTTTGTTGACAGCATCTTTCCCTAAGATGAAGCCCTTGGCTAGCATGCTGGTGACCACATCCTCCGCCTTCCGTAAAGCAGATTCAGCACCACCAGGAGTTTTACCCTCCGTTGCCTAAAAATTATTAGTGTCAGGCAAAAACAACCTAGTTAAGCACAATAAGTAGAGGGTCTTTACAAAGCTTACAGATGATGCCAAGGCAGCAGCTGGAATCTTGTAATCTGGATCCAGAGTTATCTCAACTGACAAATCAACTATCGTTGCTCCCTGACATTGAAACTCAGATAAATTTTGATATGATTGCAGGATATATAAATTTCTACATTTACGCTTTATTTGGGAGTTTGGAGAGAGAGGGAAGGGAAGAGTTTGAAAGCCAAGAGAGGAGAAAGGAAGATAGGAGGGAGGGAGGAAGGAATGGTAAACACAAAGCTCTCCCAAATTAGAGAAACTTAAAAATATGGAATTATGAGGGTTTTTGAGGGTTTATAAACCCTCCCCTTCTCATCTAAAAACTTTCAAACAAAGATAATAATCACTTAAGTCTTCTCCTTCCCTCTTTTTTCCTGTAAAAATCAACTCTCAAACAAAGCCAGTAAAGGAACAAGTAAACACCAATTTTAATTTTCCAAAGATGTACATGGCATCACAATGTTTTTTCACTTATCAATGATATCGAATTCAAATTGTCTTTCAATTATATTTAATGCCACCAGTTTCATCCTTCATGGATCCATTCAATGTCATTTTAAGGATCAATTTATAGTAAATATATAAGATTACAACATCAATTTGATGTCGAATATATCTTTGGAGAACCAATGGTACATTGCATATGTCTTGGACCAATATAAATATTTAGCAATGTAGCAGGTTATGAACACTGTTATAAACTCATAGTATACCTATCATAACATTTAGTACCCAAATAAAAAAGATAAAACAGACACACGCCAAAATAGAGGTAAAATCATTCCTCCAATGGCTATTTTCTCCTGATTGCTACCCTAAACCAGCCAGAATGAGTACAACATGCATATCCAAGGTCATTGAAAATTAATAATGCAAATTCTCACGGTAAAGCTCCAAAATTACTCCAAACTTGCATTCAAGGTAACAGTAATAGAAGCCTGAGATTTTCAGATTAGGAAATCTCTGACATAAGTTGAATAATACTATGAAACAAATCTCTGAATGGGAAGGATGTCCCACATTCCTATTCCTTAATCGCCTAAAAGTGAAGCCAACACATATATGAAGCTCCAAAATTAACATAATCTGAAAGTTTGGACACATATAATAGTCCATCCGAATTAGTGGCATGGAGTGGCCAACCCCAAAAACTTCATAGCGAGAGGCGGGAGATAACTGCTATTTTGAAGTTTTAACATAAGCCTAACTTACATTATACTACACATATATATGCTGAAAATTAAAAAAATAATATCCAAATTAAATACATATTAGAGTTTGACAACAGAGAAGGGAAGAACAAGAAAGAAAAAAATGGTTTGAGCAGAACTGGAAAACAGAGCAGTGGTGAGTCCAGGCAGAAAATGGGCGAAACAGAGGTGGGTCTCACCAAAAATTGACCGAGCATGCTGGAAATGACCCAAACAGTGGTGAGTCTCACTGAAACTGCCTGTGCACATCAGGAAGCAACCAAAACAGTGGTGGGTCTCGTTGGAAAGTGCTTGAGTTTGCTGCAAAATGACCCAAATGGAGGTAGATGCTAGGCATGGCCAAAACCAGGACATAGATGCAGGAAACTGCTGGATTCTGGCTGGAAATGAAGGTGGGCTGCCCTAAATCTTGCCAGGCAAGGGTGGGTCTGATTGGCTGCTAAGGTTGGGTGCGCGAGAAAGAAGACCCCCGGGTCTGCTGAATTATTATCATGTAAAGAAGAGCAAAATCACAAGATTGGCCCCCTAAAACATGCTCAAATGGCTTTAATGGGGCATTTGGGAGAGTTTATAGAAATAGTTTATAACTCCCATAAGTTGTTTCTAACTTATTTCAATAAGCTTTTTAAGCACAGCTTATCAAAATAAGCTCTTTCCAGCTTATTCTAAGAAGTTTATTAGTCAAATTCATGCCATAAGTCTTCATATAAAAAGAGCTTATTGAATAAGTGCTTAGTTAAGTTGAGTTCCCAAACACACCCTAAAATGAGAGCAAATTAGCAAAATGGGTATTTTACCCTCTGGCATAATAGGGACTGCAAATGGCTGCAAAATATCGCAAAAGTAGCCATACCTAGCATCGCTCCAGGCGTGACAGTGTAGTGCGATGCTACAAGGTCAACAAGAATGGCAGAGGCCACTCCGCACCATGGTGTTAACCAAAAAACAAAAACAAATTGCTGGATAAACAATAAAATTAATAAAAGAACAAAGTTTCCAATTTTTGGGAGACAACATGACACACTGGCATGGAAATATTCATGAAGATTCAAGACTAACCAACATATGTGATACACAGGAAGCAACTTTTGACCAATGAAGGATGCAATTCACTAGAAGAGGCACATCCATACTAAAGGAATAGACTCAACAAAAAAGAGACTTTTGAAAGCCTTTCAAGTAAATGTAACAGTCTTGAAACCAGTGCTGCAACAAGAATCTCAAATAGAGTTTATTCTTCTAAGTCATGCACGGATACTGCATTATTTTGTCAAAAAGTAGATTATGTCAATCAACATCAGCAAGCTTTTTGTTTAATGACAAACAATCCCATAGTTCTGAGTCTTGAACTTTCAATAATGAAAATAGGATATTTTGGTAGTCAACACTGGATAAATTTATTAGTTGTTCAGCATCCTTTGTTATTTTACAAAGAATCATGTTTGATGCACATGTATATCTACTGGTAACTAGTGACAGGAAAATTACCGATAATAGTACTGCAGTCTCAGCACCTTGTGAATCCTTGAAGGTTACATAGGCAGTTTGAGATCGTTCATCACAACTGCATTCATATGTAAACTTTTAATTTGTACAATAAAACATAACAATGATAGCACTCTAAAAAAGAGGAGTAAAACACCAACTTACTGACCTCTGTATTTCAACATATTCGATATCACCAGAAAAGGAAAAGAACTCCCTAATGTCTTGAACAGTTGCTCCCAAGGAAACATTACTGACTTTTATAGTTTTTATCTGGAAAGACAATAAAGTTTAAAACGGTGTGGATAACCCAATTCTGCATCTTCACTTATGTTATGAAATCTCACACTTAAAAACAAAATCAAAGCATATATTACTACCCATCCATAAATCCATACTTCTTAAAATTGCAACTTCACTTATTTTCCCATCTGACCATCAGTAATGATAAAAAGAGACATACATATAATTATTATAATTGTTGTTAAGCTGTCAATCCACTAATTACATTTCTCAAATGTTGATAAATGCTCCTTATAACTACTATTCATATTAAATGGAGTCTTGTGTAAAGTCAGAAAAGAGGTTATGTGAGAGTATTAGCAACAAACAACAACCAAGTCTTATCTCACTAGGTGAGGTCAGCTACATATATTAACGCAGCTCGCCAAAAGCCAAATTTTCAGATATGGAAAACAACAATTTTAAACATATACCCGTCTTGAAACAATCTCTATCGCCAATACACACTTATGGTTAAGGTTATAATTTAGCGCACCCCTCCCCCCCCTCAAAAATAAAATAAAATAAAACAAAACTAGATAACAGATAAGTATTTATGACTTTACCCAGCAACCAAAGCACTCTGAAAATAGTTAATCATGCAAGTTTGAAGGAAAACAAAGCATAGTCTAATGCAAAGATCCTCCCGTTTAATTTTTTGGATGCTATTCAACTCAATTAACCGGAAGAAGAGGGCAACCATAATAGTGTAAGTCCTATATAGCAAACTACACAGGAATCACTTCAGAGCATGCAGAACATATATTATGAAACATACTAATAATTGGTCCTATAGATTTGCAGTTCTCTCCAAAGTCAAAATACACAGAAACAAACGTTGTGCCTCGAAAGAACTTTCCAAATCGAAACCCAAAACATTAGAACACGAAATTAATTCACCTAAACTACCCAGACAGAAGGACCTCAACGAGACAAGAAGACTAAAACGGATCTACTCTTCCACCTTCTAAGTCCTAACTAAACCAAATAAACTTCGAGATAAGTATCGAATCTACTCCACATACGATAAATTATACAGTGGTAGCAATGCCTAATGCAGTATACGACATCGATGAGATCTTAAACAAGATTCGTGCAATAAAAGTAATAGTGATGCAATCAGAACTCACCGTCATCGGTAGAAATCTCCGGTTATCAGAAACCGCCGCGTGGAGAAATAGAAGAGTTGAGCGAAGAAAAAAAACGGTGAGAGGGGCTACTGGATTTTATTTCGTCGGTTTCTTAGTGGAAGGACTTGGAAACACGTGCCAGATTCGAGTCGCACGTGGGATTCAATGGAGTACAGAGCAAGGCATGCAAACCGCGTGAGCGTGATTCAACGGTCAGACTTGGACCTTCGAGGATTAGCTTTTTTATTTAAATATTATAATTTAAAAAATAAATTCTCTGTTTATTTATTTTTTCAAACTATTTCTTTTGTTTGAGGTGAATTAGGTCATGAGATAAGTATTTTTATTTTTAAAAATAATTTTTGTCACATGAAGCATAAAATTAGTGAGACGTATTAAATATTTATAAGTTTAGCAAACTTAAAATCAAGTTTTATTATTAGTATGGAGAAATTTATAAAGACAAAACACGAAGTAAGAATTGATTATGTTTTAACATAGAAAGCACGAAAGTCATAGAAATAAAAAGAAAAAAATTAAAATGAATGGTTGGAGAGCTCTAGAGACACGTGGTTAGATCTCAGCTGATATTACAATTTTAATAACAGTTTTATTAGTTTGTTGTTGATATGCACTTAACTTAATGTCTTTATCATCACATATTTCCAGAATTATGTATTGTCTATTATTTTCATCAATAAAAAAAATATAAAATTAATATGAAAATAACTTGATTAGAATCAAAATTATTTGAAATGAAATTTTATTTTTAATGCTTCAAAACTTAATCCATTATTTTTTTAGAAACTCACTTCTTCATTTCCTTCAAAAATTTTACCATTCCAATATATAATAATAACAATTTCACTTATCTTGCACTTTTACAAATAAAAATTAATTAATATATTTTTAAAATTAAAATCTAAAAAATACTGGTTATTCCTCTCATCAATAAATATATTATTTACTTATTTAATTTAAATTAAATCAACAATAACTAATTTTATAGTAATCAATTAAATAGCAGCAGTAAATAATATATATAGATAGATATATATATATATATATATATATATATATATATATATATAAAAGCTTTAAAAATTTCTTCATCAAAGTAAATAAAAAGAAAGATGTATCTACTATGTATAAGAACAAATTTTAAACCAAAAGATGTATATACACTAAAATGTCCATGGATAAAAGTGTTAATGTTCATCAAGTTTTGCCATAAAAATTGTAAAATTTTTTAATTTCTTCCACATGTCATTCTCCCACACTTTTGCGCTTATTGTGGTGAAACATAGGTAAATTCTACCATGTGTTATGTCCTCGTAAGTTTCTCTTTGCTTATGGCAAAACTTGCTTTTAGTTTTGCAAAACTTATAGTGAAACTAGTGGTTGTTTGATAGTCTTATTAGTTTCACACTCTCTATGGTAAAAATTATTTAATTAAAAAATTAAATCGTTTCGCCAATAGTATTAGTGAAACCTATGCCATGTAACCAAATTCATTCTACACAGGCAAATAGTTGAAAATAAATAAATAAATAAATAATTTGTTATTTAAATTATAATATTTAAATAAAAATTTTGAGTTTGTGTGTGTATATATATATATGTGTGTGTATAAAGAAAGAGAGAAAGAAATAAAGAAAAGAAGTTTAATATTTTGTTTTTTTTTTCTAATCAATGGAGCTACAGAGCCCAAGGAAAACAAGACAAACTAACTAAGTTTGGAGTTACAAACACCTAAAGAGTCCAAGCTTAATTAAGAGAGCACAAAGGGGGACCATTATCAAAGTAACAACGAGTTTTTCTAGAATCTAATAAAAAGAATCCCCTTTAAAGTGTTTCTAATGGCAATAATAAAAAAAGGAGGAAGGGTGGTTACATTGAATACTTAACACTAAGCTTCCTTTGAGTCCAGTTCAATCTAGACAGCCTGAATATTCTTTTGGTGAACTAATTGAAGGCCAACAAAGAGTCTCCACAATTCTGCATCTAAGGGAGAGCAAAAATCCAGTTCTTTATAGAATCCATCAATAAGATGCGCCTGGATATCTCTGATAAGGCTCCCACATTTGACACTTCTATGGCCTTAAGACATACTGCATTAGTCTTAAGTTTGAGCTGCCTCTGGGGGTGATGAAAAGAATGTCGCTGGTCTTTATCAAAATATAAGTAAATTAAATGTGTACTAGGCTAAGCTAACCTAGGTCGTATCCTATGAATCATTAGATGAGTGACCAAATATCAAACATGTAGTGTGCATCGTACTCAGAAAATAAGGGGTGTTTGGTTGTGGTTTAAAGCCCTTAATCATTCAAAATAGAAATACGAAATTAAGAAAATTAATCAATAAAATAGATTAATCCTTGATTCATCCACAATAGGTTCCATCATTAGTTACTTAAGACTTAGATACTGATTTCCTCACATATTTGAATTAATTGGAACAAGCGTCAATTAACTCTTAAATTTTCATGCAAGATTAAGCAAATTACAAGAACTCTAATCCCTAGTTCTTGGAATTAAACAAACCTAAAACCTAATCCAGAATTAATCAAACTGAACTATGAAACCCTTGTTAAGAAAGAAACTTGGATTGAATTAAGCAAACAATCCTCATTCAATTTCTAACATAGTTTTCAAGAGATTAGGGAAAATAAAATCCATACAAAGAGAAATTTGTTTCAACAATTAAACCTAAACTTCAAGAATCCATTATGAACTACACCAAGGATTAACCCTCAAAACTTAGCCTTCCATCAAGGTTGGATTCAACATTAAAAGCATTTAATGTACAGAAAACCAAAAAAGCAGAGTGAGAAAGGGAAAAGAAATGGAAACCATAAAGTGGAGTTCTTGGGCAACCACCCAGAACTCCTACCTTAATCCTATAAAATGCAGAAAAGAAAAATGACAAGAAATGGAAGGTCCCCCCTTTTCTAATTGGGAATCTATTTATAGTGAATTTAACGTCATCCTAAAGTAATCACTTTGAGTGATAAAAGTAATTATGTAGAAAACTTCCTGTAGTGTTGTCCTAACTGCAGTGATTACTATCAATGCTGAGAGTAAACATGCGCAGCTTCATCAGAAAAATATGCACGTGTGTTTACTATCAGTGGTGAAAGTAAACATGCACAACTTTGCCTCTTGGAAATGGCTCTGGAGTGTTCACTATCAATGGTGAAAGTGATTACTTCTTCCACTTGGCCTTTGGAGGATGCTTGCTGGAGTAGTTAATTTGTGTGCTGGAAGTGATTACTTCCACCCAAAAGGGTATTCAAATAACAAGATGCAATTCAAATTAGATTATGTGTAGCAACAAATTCCTAATTTTAAGCATGTAATCAACCACATTATGTCCTGATGAACAAAGGATTTGTCACTAATTCTCATCAAAATTTAAACACAAATTAATGCAATACTAGGATGCTAACCTAGATCGTCTCCCATGAACATTGGATATAAACCAAACATCAAACATGTTATGAACACCAATTCAGAAAGTAAATAAGGGGAGGTTTTGTGGTTTCAATTTCAAGTAACTCAATCAAAAAATTAATTTAGAAAATTCAATTGACAAAATGTGTTAATCCCTATCACAAATCCTCTTCGAATTTAATACTCCAACCTTTCCCCAAATTAGGTTAATTAAACAAGCATCAATCAACTATAAATTCTCATACAAAATTAAGCAAATCAATGGGCTCCAATCTCTAATCCTTAGGATTAAACAACCATAGAATTAAACTCAGAACTAAGTAAACCAAGTTTTGAACCCTTGTTAAAAACAAATTAGAGTTTGATTAAGCAACACCCTCCATTCAATTCTTAACTTAGTTCAAGAGATTGGGAAAGAAGAAATTCATGAAAGGAATTTGTATTAACATTAAACCTAGGATTTCAAGAATTCATATGAACTTCACTAGGGATTAATAGCAAAATTTAGCTCTCCATGAGGATGGATTTCACCATTAAAAAGTAAGAATCAAGAAAGATCAATGACATCAAAGTAAAAATCAATTGAAAGTAAGAAGAAGTAGGAAATAAACCCTAATATGGAACCTTGGCTGTCACCCAAGGTCTGACCTAAGCTCTGCAAAAGTGTCCCAAAATGGAAAAGTACTAAAATGGTAAAAAAAATCCTACCCTAAGTGGTAAAAATCCTATTTATAGTAAAGTTAACGCCTTCCAAAGTAGTTACTATCATTGTTGATAGTGTTTACATATAGCTCCATGAAGTTTTCTCTTTCTGTAGTGTTCACTTTCACTAGTAAAAGTGATTACGTGCAGCGCATATAATCACTATGGTAAGCAATAGTGAACATGCGCAGCTTTGTTCTTCTGGGCATGTGTGCACATGTTTACTGGATGTTGAAAGTAAACATGCATTGCACTGGGGGCTCTTTATACTATTCATTTTCATCAGTGATAATGGATTCATAATTCAAAGATCAAATTCAGGCTCTTCTTAATGGGACTGAGGGCATTCTCTGCACAAAGCATAATGGATTCAGCACAAAAAAGAAAAGTATAGCAACAAAAATTGATAATTATAAAGCAGCATGAAAAACGTCAATAATTGTTCAAGGAAAAAGCATTAAAGCGTCAATAACTCCTCATTTTCAAATTTTTTATTTTTTATTTTTATTTTATTATTTCATATTTTTTATTTTTTATTTTTTTTTTAAAATAAGCCTCAAGTATAAACTGTTATCGTCATAGGTAAAAATCATATTTGAGATTTCAAAAGAATCCTTGATTTCAAATCATATTTTACTTAGAAAACAAAATAATTTTGTAAAAAAAATTATTTTATTTTTATTTGAGAAGTGACAAAGTCCTAATAACTTGAAAACAAATTTCTTTTTTTTGTTTTGGAAAAGAAAATTTTATATTTTATTTCAAAAAGAATGAGCTAAACAGAAAAACACTATATTTTGAAAGTAATTTAACATTCTAATTTATTTATTTTTATTTTGAAAGATTTAACCTAAAAATTTAAAAATTACTTTATTTCATTTTTTTATTTTTACTAAAAAAAATTATTTTCGATTGATTTAACAAAAAAAACTAATATCTATATTTTATTAA